TAGTTACAGTAAATAACGATGTTATAACCTTTAAAATACATGCTACTGATCACCTCTGTGAAGAATTTTGGAGTCATGAAATTTAAAAACCCGAAATTCAAAAATGACAGTGATCCACAAATTGGCACAAATTCAGCTGACTGTTCCCTGTTTGTGGCACACGAGAACAAAATCTCTGAAAATCCTACACAAGAACATGAAGAAGTTCTTCAAAGTTAATAAATTCCAGTATTACCCCTAAATATACATACACACATATAAATATACATTAAGTAGGCGTAACGTTAGTATTTACTTTCTTCACTGTGGGTACATTTTCAAAGCATTCATTTTGCACTTAAAAAAAAATTTGGAAATCAGGTCAATAGACCTACATACAGTACATGATTGATGTAATTGCAAAGGTTTTGGAACTCAGTACAGTACACAGTGACAGTAGCAAGCGTGTGAACTCAACATTTTTGTCGTGTATGATGCAGGCTTACGTAGGCCTACATGATCATGGATGAAGGCCTATTGAAAGGTAGACCGTTAAACAGGGCCAGACGTACAGTGTATACTCCTCCGTCATATACTGGGCCCTGTTCCAATTCATAGGGATTTTTTTGGAAAAACTTTATCCGGGATATCCGGGGCATAACTAAACATTCGCTTGATTTTATGGCCTGAAATTGCACCAATATGTTCACTTCGTATGGGGTAAACTATCCCCAAGGTTGCTAATTGCAGAAAACTCGCCTTTTCCTCGTTTAGAGGAAAAAAATGTTGCCTTTTTCTTGCCGTTTTCCCACTCCTGACAAATTTTGCCACACTTGCACAAAACTGATGGCCGTTTCGTCATTTTCATCTCACGTCACAGAGTGCGAGCCATGCTACCAATGATTTGCGGCACGCTGTGTGTGACTGGACAGGGAACCAGGCAAGGGCGTTGTGTATGAGCTGCACTTGTCAGTAGAGGACTATATGTGTAAATATAATGTACATGCAATGTTAGAATTCTGGAAATACTTATATGCCAAAGTTTGACAGTTTAGCAAGAAAGACTGGGATTTTGCCTTCTCATCTGAGGTAATTAATGATGCATCCAAGTGCCTGGCCTTCCCAAATTAAAAGGCCAGGCATCTCATGCACATGTCAGTAGAGAACTATAAGTAAATATAATGTACATGCAATGTTAGAATTCTTCTACTTATATGCCAACGTTTGTCAGTCTGGCAAGAAAGACCGTGATTTTGCCTTCTCATCTGAGGTAATTAATGATGCATCCAAGTGCCTGGCCTTCCCAAATTACAAGGCCAGGCATCTCATGCACGCCAGTAAATTTACATGAATAGTACATGCAATTTTAGTATTCTGGAAATATGTGTACTTTAATACAAGCTTGGAAGATTTTTATTCATGCTGCAGCCAAGTGCCTGCCTTCAAGAGTTGATGAGACCGAGTTGACTTGAGACAAAGTTGACTCGGAGCGAGTTGATTCCAGACCAAGTTGGCGACTTCACACTGATGAGTATACAGTGTGTTTACATTGCCATGTTTTGCCGGACCATATCCGAATCTTTAAAAAGGCAATTCTTAGAGTCTAAGTTGCTCAGACTATTACTAACTAATCTACACCATCCTGATGCAGTCGTGTCAAATATCATTTCAAAAATTTTCAAAAATGTATTTTTGACCTTGTTGGGCTAATGTCATATGGGAAGGCCTGGTATTACAGCTGCACGTGAGCACATCATCACATCCAACGACTTGCTTGGGAGGGATAAGCAATTTGCAAGATGTGTGCAAAATCTAAAAGTGGGCATTTGAGCCTACTAAAGTTACTCATGTCATTTTTACAGAAATGGGCCATTCACATGTACTGTAGGCAGTCTGGTGTTGATCCTAGTCCTACTCCTAGCTCCTAGGTTTAGTCTCAACATGGTCTTTTCCTTTCCACGTGGTCTGAACATGGAGGTAGGGTCTGAAGGACTAGGCCTGTGAATTTTATTCCTGTATAGTGTGGAATAATAAAAGCAAAATGCATTGTACTTACTCCATATCACGTAGGTGTGCCAGTGATTCCTCAGAGACTAATTTCTTACGTGTTGTCTTGATGATACACAAAGTCGCGAAAATAAACGGATTAAAGCGACCGCCAAGCGCTCAGTATACAACGTGCACGTGTGCCACCACACCCACGTGTTGTTTGCAGTATGTCTGTCTGTAGTTGGTCCACCATATACCCGTGTTCTGTAAATGGGTTTTCGATGCAGCCTGAGTTTTGCGCATGGACGTCATGCACAGAGTGCCTGGCTTATAGCCTATGACAGAACGATTATGAAGTGCCTTCGTTGTGGTTGCGTCACTACCACAAAAATGAATACCCCCCACCAATTTGAATCTTTTCAACTGATGAGGGGGTGCTTCTGCTCAAGGTAGAGAGACCTCGATATTTGGTTGAAACATGCAGCTGGAGTGTCCCGAATACAAACGGCTAATAGGGGCCTATGTCTGACAAAATGCTCACTTCACAAAAGTACTAGCATAAAAATAATATTTGTACCCAGGAACAGGAGAGATGGGGATGACTTAAATAAAAATATAAAAATTAACTGGCAGTGGGAAATCGAAAAAGAAGGAGGGATGCAAGGCACCATGTGGCGCAAGGGGCGCTGTTCACGATACATATCTAAACTTATCGTAACATCTAACGAACTTTGCATCAAATTTTGTGTACCTCTTCACACTTTTTCAGTTCTACTGAATACAGCTCGGCTGTTCAGAAGTTCGAAACAATATGTCATCCTCCTGTCGATAAGTGGAGGGGGGGTAAATAATCCCTACCCCTGGGCTTCACGCCCCCGCTCCATGCGGTGTTGAATGATTTCAATTGAAAAGTAAATTTTGTTCAATTTAACAAGCCTATAACAAACATTGTACGCAAACACTCGTGGACATGCAGTCCTTGATCTTTTTAACATTGCTGGAGCGCTGCAGCAGCATTATGATTATAATCGTTATCATCATGGCATAAGGATACAAATGGACTACATTATTCTGCATTCCACTCGCGCTCGTGTGGTAACTAATATTGATAGTACTGTGGAATAGCATGTTGACTAAACTAGGAAAACAGTAATGGGGAAAAAGGGAACACTGATAATTCGACATGTTGCAGGAGAAGTGTACAATTTTTCACAAGTGTGAAACAAATTTGGACGGTCCTTTTTCGGATACAAAAAATTAATTTGAAGCCCCATAGGCCCGACTCAGACATGTTGCAGAGAAAGAGACGGCATGGTCTTGGGGGTGGCAGTTAACACAATTTCAACTCAAAATCTTACCGATTCCAATGCAAACAACTGATGCGACAGATCTGATGCCTCATTTTGCGCATCCGGACGGTGGTTCACGATTTAAACATTTGCGTTCAATTTCAATTTTGCGTTTCAATAAAACATGTATAATGCACCAGAATGGCTCTTTTTTCAAGGGTTTACAATCGGCTGATTTAGACAGCTAAACGTTTACGGTGACAAACAGCAGAGACAAATCCAGTTCTCAACATCGCTCAACAATTCGTCGGATTTATTACCACAATAGATTATTGGTTTCAATGTCTTAGGATGTACACGCCTGTTCATCAAGAATTCATCACTTCAATAAAATCTCTAGGGAAACACCAGTCGATTAGATGTTTACAATGGCGTATCTAAACAGAGGGAAATGTACGTTACGGTTGTTACTGGGAACTATGGTCATAGAGCTCAAAGAGGACAGCTTTGCCAGGAAAACCTAACCACATTATCTACAATAAATTGGGAAATCAATAATTACTTTAGAGAGAAAAGTCAGTGTACAGCCCGTTCCACGGTATTGTATACATTACACTGCACTTTTGCATTACATGGCAGTTTAGGAGCATGAAGCATGTCCAGCCATATTCACACAGTCCTAAGCAGACCACAGCTTTGAATTTCTGTTCACCGTTGGCGGGTTTTGAAATTCACAATTGGTGCCCAAGTGCCCCCAATTTAAAAAAAAAAATTGAGTGTTGCTTGGACATCCAAGCTTCTTTTTAAGTTTGAATATTGCTGAAAAAAGTTATCGTATTCCTACAGATAAAAAGGGTCTACACTCAACAGTGCCGCTCCCAGGTAGCCAACTGTAAACTGACGTCCTATCATCTTTGACTCACAGGTATCTGCTGTGCTACATGTAACAACTCCGTTCATTGAAAACTTACGATTTTCCTCAGGTCACAGTAAATGGGCATGCGGGCTAATGTGAAAGCCTACGGCGCTTAAACACGGAGATCGAAAATCAGTACTTGGAAAGATTACTCGAGAGCTGCAACCTGACAGGGCCACAGAAAGTGACATTTCGAGAGAAAGGAAAACTGACAGAACCATTTTTGCCCTAAATGCAATAAATAATGCCTATGGCAGGGTAAAAGCACTTGCCCCAACAGTATGCATTACTTCAGGAAAAATACCCCAAGTGCCGAAACTATCTGGGTGCACCTACACGACTTGGTGGGTTTGAGTACAGAGCTTGTTTACTCTTATTGACTTACAAACTTTAAAGGCAGCATTAATGGCAGCCTTCCGAAGTCCTAAAAACCGTCCTTTGGGGATCTAGTCACACATGCGGTCGCTCAAAAATTTGTGGATATGGTGGTTTGGCGGAAAAAGGTAACCAGCCAAAATTGCCTTGAGAATCGTACAGCTCCAGACTAGTTCCCTGCCAAGTTCTACTGAATGGGAAAATTACCAAGCAGAATTTCTCCGCCTAACACCTCTTTTGAAATTGGACCCGGGATGACCTTTATGATTCCGCTAAACAGAAAACCCTGCTTACCAGATTTCCAAGCAGAACAAAAAACCATTCACATGCATTGTAATGCAAATCGTGATAAGCAATATTCTGTGTACAGTGGGCCTCGGTAACTTTTTTGAACTATGGGTAAACATTTAGAGATTTGTTTTTCTATATGGACTCCATATATGCAATTTTTTTGTCTTGCTTGCCAGGTACGTAAAACACTACAACTAGGGTGTTAATTTAAACCTTGCACATGAACAAAATCACCACCCGAATCCCTCGAAACGCACTCCTCTCTTAACTAGCAGCAACGGAAACCGGGGTTCCGGGATTTGTTCCACTGTTAGAGATACTATAACACAAATTTTCAAAAAACCAAGATAAATGCGCCCCCATATGCACTCCAAGCTAAGCCACGCCCCCCCAACTGGGGCTAACCTTGTTCCTTTTAGGCTTCCAACTCCAGGCCCAGGCCCAGCTTGTGCCCTCCTTGGTTCAAGCTCTTGCCGTCGATGAGGGTGGAGAGGGTTACTTTGACACCTGCGGAGATGAAGGGAGGCTGTTAACAAAAATCACTACAGGGTAAAAACAAGTCGTATTCCTAGGAACAGTTGCTCAGTGTCTGTTTCTGGTTTCCTTTGCATGAAAAGATGTAGAATATGTCTCTTCCCCCAGGACAGGATGCCAGGCCATCAAAAGTTGCTCCCCGGCTACAGCCGGTACCCCTTTGTACTCATGGCTGAAGAGAGGCAGGCAGGGATTGAGTGGCTTGCCCAAGGACACAGCATCATGGCCAGTGGCTGGATTCAAACCCCAGACCCTCTGGTCAGGAATCACAAACCAGACTTTCCCGTCTACCCGAGGGCAAGACCGAGTCTTAATCAGGAAAGCATTATTTGTGGCCATGGCTTTTCCATGTAGCACACAAACAGCTTGTATTTGGCCCCCTAAGCAGCTGTAGGTAAGGCCCTGTCTTGGTTATAAAATAAAAAAATGACGATGCAGTCCAAAATGTCGAACGAATCTTGAGCACATGACCACCAAGGATCAGCATTTGTAAAACGGAAACTTTGTGAAGGCCTGAGGTTGCGGTATCTTGTTTAAAAAAAGTTGGTATTTATCGGCCGAGAACAGTACAGTGCCTTTGACAAGTTTGTTGCGGATAAAAAGACTAACGATTCAAACCACTCACCTGGTCTTAGGGTGTGGGTGTACCCAATACCCACTTGACTTGTGTTGCTGACCTTCGCTCGTAGGGAAGAGTCCTCGTCCAGTGCGTACTTGGCGCCCACAGCGAAGCGCGTTGCATTCGTCCCGGACGTCCAGCCCACGTTGATGGCACTCTCGAGCTTGTCGTTCAGTTTCTGGTAGATGGCCCCGCTGAAATCTGTGCCCTCGTTGCTGTCAGTGGAAATCAACGAGACAATGGCAAAAATTCAAGTAGTTTTCGAAACCTTTGTTAGGCTAAAGATCAAATGCTGTAAAACTGATTTATGACAATATCCCTTGGTCTTCCCTTGGAATTTCTGTCGGTTAATCCAACGGCCAATATTCAATGCAGTGAGAGCACTTCAGTTCAGAGGGAGAACTACCACCTGTCCTTTCCTAAATCTTTTACAATATTTGGCTATAAGACAACAATGTTGATAGAAGCATAGTATTAATGTTTACATCAGAACATTGTAATGAGAAAGTCCTGAGGACTTTACAAATTACCTTGTTTTAGCACGTACCTTGTAATCAAGAACAAAGACGACTGCAGACTTGGGACCTAACATTGTCCTTGACATTTAAGGATCCATGAAATGAGTTTTTCTTAGAATCACTTTTTGTGTATCTCTGTTCTATTCTTAAATGTATGAAGACTGTTTGACATTTTGCTTTGAGTTACGTGAACATTGAAAAATGCCCCGGCATGGAGTGGTTAACAGTGACGTCCTTTGATAGTAGGAAAGTTTTTAACTTTTCTGTCTGCAAGGTTTCTTTGGGTTTTAGAGGAATCCCTGGCTTTCATTACCAGAGAGAATTAATAATGAAAGCAGCTTGCTGGACGTGAACTCACATGGCAGTGTGAAGCTGGAAGTCGCCAGTCTTGTAGCCCAGGGCAAAATTGCTCTTTGTGAGCTTGGACTTGGAGGTGTCAAACGACATCTGGTAGCCGGCCATCCAGCCTTCATAGCTGTCAAGAAAATGAGTGGCTAAGGATTAGTTTGCTGTATTTGCAATTCAGTACTGTTGCTCCACGTAACGGCCACTCATCCATGATTTAACACCCCTGTGTACCCCTTTGTACGATCATGTCATTTTGACAGCCAGGAGCGGTAAAAAGTGGTTGTAAACCGTGCTAACTCCAGCCAGTTAGTTACCGAACAGCTACCAATCCAAGCCATTCCAAATCAAAAAGTAACAGACGACGGAAAGAATTCTGCAGCATTTTTCTGTTCACCACATGAGTCAATTAATAGGCTTCATTTTGTCTGCGGGATCGTGCACTCTGCACATTTCATTTCTTGATGTTCCGCACTGAGAGGGTTTTTTTTTTAAGCCGACTAGGGAGGTCAGGGTCTCGGTGGAAACTTATTTACCCAGCAACGGCTGCGCCGTGAACGGTTGGTCCAGCAAAGTCAAAATCTACATCTGCATTGAGGTTGATGTAGTCCCTCTTGTACCCTGTCTTGATCCGGCCTGTCTTCTTCCTGCATGCCAACGTTGGAAAGAAAAGTGCAGTGAGAAACCAGGACACAGTCGTGCAAATACATGTGGTTCTGGGAGTTTAAAAGTTATAGATGCTGAAGGTTTCTCAGACAAATTTTTAAGTGCTATTTTACACTCTTCTTTAATTAATGCATCGAAACAGCTTGATATCCCTTTTAGGACCAGTGCACTGAAAAGTACTCCTTGTAGCATGTTAAGAATGTTCATTCGAAATTACCCATGTTTCACAAGACAATGGAACCCTATGTTGCTGTGACGGCAATCAGGAAAGACTACTCGAAAGGTTTTTATCTTCTAATTGTGGACCTGAAATTTAGTTGTTGAAAATATTTCCAACACTGACAAAGGGTTGCTCACTGGCTTACTGCAGTGTACTTACATGACATTACAATGAACCACCCCAAAACAAGGAATTTAGAGCAGTAAAATAAAAAACTGCCATAGTTTCTGTGCACAACATTGAGGTATTCTCCCTAGAATGACATCACAGCTTTGCTTATGAATATAGAGATTGCATACATGGCATAGGCATACAAAAACAACGAGGGACAGGAATACCTTATTAAAGTAGCAAAATAATAATTAGAATTAACTTTAATTGAAACACAAGGGTTTATTTTCAGGGTATGTAGTAAGAGCAGTTTCATTTGAGAGACCCTGTCATTGGTTGCTTTATCTGCAAGCATGGAGTTTTGGGCCATTACCCTGTCTGGGGTGAGAAGCTGGTGTCGAACGTGATCTTCAGGCCCTGCGCAATCTGGTTTTCGATGGTGACCTCTGTGGACAGCATGTTGTCGGTCGTCCACTTCTCCTTGAAAGAGAGCCCTGGAATGAAAGATTATCCCAGATATTCAACTGCCCTCCCAAAAAACCTCATATGCACCCTACGTGTCATTTATTCATGTCAGACCACATCCACATTTTAAGGTGAAAAGAAAGTGAGTACCAGCTTACGGTGAAGGTAAGATTTAAGACTAAACAAATAACAGTTAAAACAATCACAGAAAGCAAATCCCTAAACTTACCATAGTCCTTCCAGCTGTATTTCGTCTCCAGGCTTCCATCTACTTTGCCAGTATCATTATTTGATGACCCAACAACATTGAATTCCTGTCAAAATGAAGTAACCCAGTACATGATTTGTTGGTACATAACGACGGCCATGGGGTGCATTCCAAGGGTGGGAAGTTACATTTCAGTTAAAAAACAAACGTTTAGAAAACTTTCCCATATTGTTGAAACGTTGTGCCAACATGTTACAGAGGCTGCCCCTTTGAAAGGACGGAGCAGTTAAACGTTCCAAAAATCAAGTTACATTTTATTTAGGCATCGTTTACAACAAAAATGAATGCCAGATTGTATCAATCAAAACGTCAAACCTCTACAAGGGGCGGTTCCCTTTAATCGTTTGGGAAAATCTGTTTTGGAATTTTTTTGTTTAAACATTGACACGTCCCACCCTTAGCACGTTCATTAAATCTTGTTGGACAAACAGTGTTTGTGCAACTTTTTTTGCCTTGGTCACCTAATGACATTTCATTCAAACTAACTGTGAACTTGGACAATGAATACCTACGGTTTGCATCAGCAAAGTATTCTGTTATTTGTTCATTAGCAAGGCCAATAAAAAATGCTACAGATATGTGCAGGCACACTGGAAATTTGTTTAAAAACACAAAGATTTCTCGATAGTGGCGTTGCAAGATGCTCAAGGCCTCACACACTTAAAAGCTCATACATCCGTGCATGAAAAATCTCCAATAGCAAGTTGCAAATGGGTGGATATTCACATTTGAGATAATGTGGGAAAAACATCTAATGACTCACAACAGCAAAAAGCAGAACTTTTCCCAACCAAATTATCAACTACTTTATCTCACGAGAGTGGAAACTTACCACACCCTTCTGAGTTGTAGTCTTTGCATCCAACTTCACAAATCCAAACCCTAAAAAAGGAAAAAATCCACAGATTAAGACTCTGTCCCGTTTGTCCACTTCCTGCAAACATATTACAAATCTACTTCCTCTTATCTGTAAGTTTATGTAAAATGCACGGTTGGTCCTGCTATTTTTCAAAGAGGCGATGATTAATTGGTTATAATTGAACAGTATATGCCTACTAAAAGTTCCTTACCATTATTCTGAGCAATAATGAATTGTGCTGTAACCAGCAGCACACTGTGAAATAATTTTGTACATGTGTAGTGCGTCAAAAATAAATATGGCTGATATAATTTAGCAACAGTATTTAAAAAAACAAACCTGAACCCCAACCACCCAGTGGTTGCTGGACCTAACCTTCCCCAATCACACAAACTTCAACACCTTGGAAAAACACTCTTATCTCACAGTACCTAATCACACAAACTTCAACGGGTCTTTACCTGTGTGATTTTGTTTGATTGGGTACAGCAGGCCCACTGCACAATACAAAGAGTATGGACAGGCAGTACCTAATCAAACAAAACCACACACCATCATGCTGCATATCCATCCTCAACTGCTGGGATAAAGTGAGAGGGCCGCAGTACCCATTCAGTCAAAATTCAATAGGGTAAGTGCAGGCCCACAGTACCCATTCACAGTAAATTAAACACCGGATAGTAAGCTACCAGTACCCAATGCCACAAACACACTTTACTGGTGTTGAATTCTGTGTGGTTAGGGAAGGTTAGGGTTGATATTGTTCTTGCAAGTCTGTGGTTTTTTAAAACTATGTACGTGCACATGTGTATCACTTAATGAGTGAACACTTTTGTTCAAAATGAACTGCTTCAAAAAATGATGTCTGCTTTCCTGTTCAAAACCTTCGTGTGTAAAAAAAGAAATCTAAATCTAAATGTTATCTAGACAGAATCGTTCTTCCATCCTACTCTGCTCAGAGTTTTTAACACTCGCTTTGTGCCTTTGCCTACCACTGATCATGCATGGAGGGCCTTTATGTGGCCCAAATAGGAAGTGATGCATGCACAGCGTGCGGTGCAGTAATGTTCGTGTGTCTGCATGTTCATGCCCAGGTCATCGTGGCAAATTAGAGAGGAAACTGGCAGGGGAGTTGAGCGATGACACACGACATGCTCCATCACCGCGCATGCCCGCTACAGGAACTTCACAAATCAGGTTCTCTTATGCCTCAGATATTCCTGTTTCTTCATGTACTTGAAATAAATGCATCGACAATGTCCAACAGGACGTAGCAATTTCAGACACAAACACATGTGTATTAATGGAGACAAAACATTCCTGACTTAATGAAATTTTTCAAGTAAGTCCTCATTTCCTCAAACAGATTCTCAGAACACAGATACTGTACATGCACTTACACACTGAAAATTTCAATTCTAAATTTATGAGCTTAAACACATTACTGTGCAGTCCAAAACAACACAAAAGCTGAATGTCACAAATTCATGCATGTATAACATGTCAAATATCTTTGAAACTTCTTTAAACATTACTTTCAGCGCTTCTGTTTTTTTTCAAATGACACCATGTTTAGCAACCCAAGTTCAAGCCAGTGGTCCTTGGCTTGAATTCTTTGCTGCTGACCTGGACATGCTAAACTCTCCGAGAGTGCACAGAGAAGATGCCCACTTCAAGCCCCTTTTGGAGGGTACCATTAGCATATGGGGGATATGCTTGGCATTCCTAGGAATTCACCTCCAGTTGATTAGAACCTCTCCCCCGAATATTTGAACAAGTCCCAGAAAGTCGAAACGTCAATCCACTTCAAACTTCAAATCCGCAACAGGGTATCCTGTCCTGCTAAAGGATTTACAGTCAATTTACACCCTAACTTTACAGAAGAAAAAATAACGTTCGACCAGTTCCTCACCCACTGTTCCATTTACTCTGATCTGTCTACTTGGCTTTTCAGCCAATTATCCCTCCCTCGTAAAAATGATAAAGATGGAAATCAGTACAATTAAGCTTGTACACAATATCAAAGCCAACATGTTGACGTACCGTAGCCTTTTCCGAAAATGTCCCTTGCTGCCTTGCCAAGGTCGGCGTATGTTGGTGGGATGGCCATGTCTGCCAATCAAATGTGGACTTCTGTCTCAAGTCAGAAAGTCTGCGAACAATAAATGCATATGGAAACTGAGATATCATTTGCAAGAAGTGCTTCTGCAAGAACGCAATAGGTTTATTTTGTGCCATTACAAAAAGTAACGTCTCTAAGACGATTAGGATAACAGCCCCCCCAAAAAACAATCCGAAAAGAATACGCCTCCTGAAATCTTGTATGCCTACAAAGTACAAGCTTTCACGTCAATTAGTAACGGCATTTAAAGATGTTAAACATGTCAACCTCCCTTCTGTTTTAACCATCAAAAACAGTCCAAAATGCCTTCCAATTGATTTCCCCCAGTACACAGACACATATGGGAAATTTGACTGATTTTGACTGATATGGCAACTGTGTCAAGAATGCATCTTAGCATAGGAGGGTTAAGGTCAATTTACTGCAGATGCATGTTCGTTGCAATCTAGACAAAGATAAAGGCTAGTCTAAAAATGGCCTAAACAATTGTTGTCTAGGCCTGAATACTTGGGTAAGTAGGGGTATTTTCGACCAGGAGGAAAATTTGTCCAGCTAGCTTATACAAAACCTCATTAAGTTACACAGCTGGTCCAATTTCTCATTTTTCTTATGTCATTAAATACTCGTACGTTTACCCCATATTTTTTCTGTTTCATTCTTTCCTTCATTCAATTCCAACATGTCCAACCACGCCCCTATCCCGCCCACTTGCAATTTTTAGGCCATGAATACCATTGGTCATCCATGGTCAAGACTCATTAGCACTACAGACTACAGTTGCACCTAGGGGCCTACTGCATTTTCTTACATTTTGGACTAGAAAAATAATTGGCCAGGCCTGATATTTAAAGGTTTGCATCTACCTAGCATAACAACCATGACAACTGAAAGATCTACACACTTGGTGACGATCTCTGAACCGGAGGGTTTGTGAATAAATCTCTGTCAACTGTTTGTGCACAAATTAAAATGCTATGAAAAGGTGTAATCGTCGCTCAAAGTTACATCATCATGGGTACCAGTGATCTTTCCAGCAATCGAAATACTGCAGCAATTCTCACGCCATGGGCAGAGCAACCAGCGATGGACACTGCCCAAAATTGATGTGGTTTTTGTTTTAGGGGTCACCGTGAGAAAGTAGCCTTAAACAGCTTTTCCTCCAGAGGAAATAAAAAAGCAAAATGTCACTTCGAGGGGAAGTAAAATGCACTCACTTTCTACATATTGCATACTCATTTGCATTAAAAGACAACCCTGGGGTGTACTTACTACTCGCCTCAGCGTTGAATCCAATAGTATTGGCAGTACAGCGCACGTACGCAAGAAGCCGGAAAATGGCGTCCAATCGGGTTTCACAAACTTTGCTCAGGGCCCTGACAGGCCACTACATTGGTGGCGCACTACAAGATGTCTTTCGCCGACTTTTTTTTTGGGGGGGGGATAATGGTTATCATTGTCGTAGTATTAACAAGGAACCGAAAAGGATAATAATTTATTCATATTTCAATATTATTACCCCACCGCCACCCTTTCGCTGTATTCACGATATACTGTTTTTGTTTGGATGTAGGCCCCTTCATGTCTTAATAATCATGGTTTTTACTAAGAATGAGCACTGCGCAATGAGAATTTCACGAACTGTATACTTCTCCAACATCCAGCTTATTACTCACTTGTCAATCATGCCAAGCTCCTCAAGATTTCACAAATATTTGGCGGTCATTTTGACACTGCATGTAGAAGAGAAGCAAATAAACCTTTTTATTCAATACTGACACTGCATGTAGAAGAGAAGCAAATAAACCTTTTTATTCAATACGAGGGATTTCCAGTCTAAATTTTTGTCGTATTGTTATGTAAAGGAACTCATACCACGATAGATCCAGAATATATTTTAGGGGGGGGGACTTGGTATTTTTCGGGGTGGGAAAAAATTGAATTTTTCCATGGAACCCTTTATAGCCTTCAGTTTCTAAGGGGTGAGGCTACATTCTAGGGCTTTTTGCACATCTTTTAAAGAAAAAATAAACGAATGGAAATGGGCAAAAAATTATCGTCTTTCTTTCGTTATTTTTCAAGGAAAAAATCCTGAGGGAGAAGCCTTGCATTCCTCCCTTTGGCCCACCGGGGTCTGCCCCTGAACATATAGGGACGAATAGCATCAAATAATTAAAGCTCTTGACTAAGGAACAAATTTTCAGGCAAGAAATGTTAATTTGTACTAAGCGAATCAGCCCCAAAAGAGGATGACGTGAAGTCAAATACCATTTGTGGGCCTCTTGCTCCTACAATTTCTGTAACTAACGATATAATTTAAAAATCCTATCCTTTTTATAACAATATTCATAACTAAATACTCATGCTCACGGCAAAGTCCTACTCCTGTTGTCTCCTAATCCCATAATTTTATTTGATATGTATTTTTTTAATTACTATATTATTGAACTCTGAGATTTTGGTCTTGAACATTTTTTTTTTGAGGAGGATGAGGAGACAGTTGAAACGTTGGCACTTGATGGCTGCCCACACTGAGCAGCGTATGTAGATGATATGGGAATTTCACAAAAGTGCGCCTCCAAGAGTTTGCAACGCGTTGACCAATCACAACACGCGAAATCTGTCGATCCTATCCAAACGCTCATTATGTCGACAGATTTCGCGCACTGAAATATATTCAAAGTATTGCAAACTCTTGGAGGGGCACTATTGTGGATCGCCAGTATTGAACAACTTGAACCGTTAATGCCTTAATTTAACCATTTCATATAGAGTTTGCATGTTATTCCATTAAGTTATGTATTAATTCCTTTCACTTGAGCACTTTCCGAACAAAGTGTCAGTGACCTTTAATATGCATGGTCGAAAACTAGTCTGATGGGAAGGAAAACCAATCGAAAAGAGATCTGAGAGCAGATAAAACATATTGATTCAAGCCATCTAGATGCCGAAGTCTGCTTTGATTTTCTTTGAAGGGTCGCTGTCGGTCGGACCGCTGACCGGATTGTTGTGCTGTCTGTTGCCTCTGCTGGCCTGATTGCTGAACACTTTG